TCACGTTGGGAATGGTCTCGGAGCATTGTGCACCAAGGGCTTAGCTGTGCAGAAGACGGGGGCGGTCCTGGGGCGACGGATGAGTCCGGAAGCGAGGCCACTTTATCGCAAGGGGCGGGGGCGTCGTGGCCCCACGGGGCGGAGCCTTCGTGGAAGCAAGGGGCGGGGCCTCGAGCTGACACTGAAGGCGGGGCCAGGGCGGAAGGCAAGGGCAGGTGCTGGGGTGAAGGTGCCAATTCAGTGCCAACAGGACTCCCCAGTCGGGGTTGCGGGGGAAGAAGGAAACTTTATTAGTGCAAACAGCTCCGAGCGACACCGCTCGGCTGTGACAGCGCTGCTGCTGCGGGGCGGCTCCGCATTGCTGCACCGGGCCCCGCCAGGCCCTCCAGCCAGGCTGCTCAGCTCTGCTCTGCTGGGCTCCGCTGGCTCTGCTGGGCTCTGCTCCGCCCCCAGTCGGCTCCCTCTGCTCCCAGAGCGGGCGGCGGACACAATGCAGGCAGCGCTTCTCCCGGAATTGTAGTCTGAGTGAGAGCCCCTGGGCAGAACTGGCTGCTAGGCTCTGCTTATTATTTTTATTATTTGCTTTATTTTTCAGCCCAGTTAGCCACCAGGAGCCCTTCCTGCTGGTGTTTTCTTTTTTCTCTTCTTTTTTAATAGTTTGGGTTCACAGTAGCCTGAGTTGGCTGATGGGTTCATTCCAGACAATGACATTCTCCACAAATGTAATAAGTTCTTTTCACTTTAAGGTTCTCAATGAAGTATGTTTCAAGCATGTCTATAATGTATAAGGCAGCAGAAAATATACTCTTTACAGTTATTTGAACTTAGGATAAGAATGTTTGATGTTGACTAACAAACGTGCTCACGGGTTCTCAGAACTGCTCAGAGGTGCGAGAGCACAGCCCTCTGAAGTGCACGCCTGCGCCACAGCCACACGGCGTCCTCGGCTGGTTGGCTTCTTGAACTGGGTCGGTGGTGGTGCCGGGCGTTTGGAGCCAGAAGAGCCGGAGCTGTGGCTCTCCAGGGGGCGACGTGGCTCCTCGGGGACATCTGCAGTCTCTGGTTGTCACAGCGAAGGGGCTGCTCCTGGCATCTCTCGGGAGAAGCCGGCAGTGCTGGTCGATGGCCTCGGGTGCAGACAGCCCCACCGCCACCCAGCGCGAGAGCGAAGGCAGAGCTCAGACCAGGAACCGGGAATGGGTGAAGGGGTCGTTTCAAGAGAAAGATGAAGCAGGAGTTGTGCTTTGATGGATGTAGTACAGGATTTACTTCTTTTTTTTAATTGAGATATAATTGACATATAACATTGTATTAGTTTCAGGTGTACAACCTAATGACTTGATACCTGTATATACTGTACAGTTTACCCTTAAACAACATGGGGTTAGGGGTGCCAACCCCCACACAGTAAAAAATTTGTGTGTAACTTTCGACTCCCCCCAAACTTAACTGCTAACAGCCTACTGTTAGTCTTAAATAGCCTTAAACCATTAACACATACTGTTGTATGTTATGTCTCATACGCTGCATTCTTACCATAAAGCTACAGAGAAGGACATGTTGAAGTCCCGAGGAAGAGGAAATGCAGGTACAGTGTTTACTGAAAACCCTGCAGGTAGGAAGGGGTGGGGTGTGCGGTGCAGGAGGAGCAGCGGCCCCGGCAGAACTGCAGTGACCTCACGTCCGCAGGGCCCGGGGGACTGGCTGGGAACACGATGCCCTGCCGTTCTCAGCCCTCGTGCCCCGGCTCGCCATCCGCCACCCGGGCCCTCGCTCTCGTCTGCTGCTGGTCCAGCAGGACGCAGCCTCTTCTCGTCCCACAACCCACTCGTCACGTGTCCCCTGCCCGTGCGAGGCTGTATGAACACACAGGTGCACAGGTTCCCGCCGTGCCGAGCCCAGCGACCGCCCACAGCACAGGCTTCCCAACATGAGGACGGCGTTGCACCTGTGACACAGCCTCGGCGAGCTGGTCGGACAAGGTGAGCCTCACCTGGATCAGGTCCAGGTAAACTACCCTGAGGTCTAATTAGCTCCCGGGCCAAGGGCAGGGGAAATGACTGGAATGACTGGCTGTGTTTGAAGAAGGAGCACGTAGCATTTAGACTAAGGAGAGTCCCCTCTTTAATCTGTGGCCAATTAAATGCTTGAAAAGAGATGAAGGGGAGACGCAACGATATATGCAAATAAGACCAAATGAGAAAGCCCTTTCATCCTGAATTTATTCATAAATGTCAGTGTGAGCTCTGATGTGTCTCCCTGAAACCAAACCAAACCAATGAAACTCGTTTGCTGGCTTTGAAAGGCCCAGCAGCGGTGGCTCCCCTGTGGCCACAGGCACAGGACTGGCCTCTAAGCACAAACGTCCCAGGAGGACCCAGGCTCCTGTAACAGTGAGGCAGGAGGAGCGTGGGGGTAGCAGTGCTGGCAGGGACGCGGGCGCTGCTGGTGGGGTCTGGGCTTGTGGTCCACTCGGGAGGCCGGCTCAGGCGGGGGATGAGCTGCGGGGGTCTGGTCAGCGGGAACTGACGGAGCTGCTCGCCCCCACTGGCCGGCGCTTAAGGAAATGTGTCCAGTTTCAGGGACACGCAGGGCCGGCTGGACCGTCTGCCCCGTGGGCTTTGGAAGCCGAGCCTTTGGCCCCCACTGCGTGGCTCCCCCGGGCTCCGTGATGTAGCCGGCAGCTCCTGGCCGACTCCTCCTGTGGGCCCTGGGCCTGGGCTTGTGCCTGAGCTGCGCACATGGGCTCCGGAGGAGGTGGGTGCTCTCCTGGGCGCGTGGGGGGGTCCCGCTGGCTGGCCAGGCTCCCAGGCGTCCTGGGCGGGTGGTGGGAGCTGCAGAGGGTCCCAGCCTCGGAGGGGACAATGCGGGTGGACGCGGGACGGTCAGCACAGCCTTCGTGTTGAGGAAATGCAGGTACAGTGTTTACTGAAAACCCTGCAGGTAGGAAGGGGTGGGGTGTGCGGTGCAGGAGGAGCAGCGGTCCAGGCAGAACTGCAGTGCTCACGTTCCGCAGGGCCCGGGGGACTGGCTGGGAACACCCATGCCCTGCCGTTCTCAGCCCTCATGCCCGGCCTCGCCATCCGCCATCCGGGCACTCATCCTGCTGCTGGTCCCTGTGTCTCCCTACCTGTGGGGACAAGACAGATCCCTCCCCGATGCTGTGGCTTCCACACCCACCTCCGGTGCAGCATCTGCTCCCAGGCCCAGCCCAGTGCCTCAGGCCTGCGGACGGTGTGCCCATCTACAGGGGGAGAAATGGAGTGTTCGTTTCAGTTGCATTCCTGTTGTTGGGAACGACGAAGACCCACTGGACTGTGTGTTCTTGGAGGAACGAGCCGGACCTCTCGTCCAACATCCACCAAACACCCAGCACCGGCTTTGGGAGGCGCCTAGTGAGACCCATCGCGCACCGCCCTCCCCTCCCCTCCGCCTCGGTGGCTCCCTCTGGAGGAGGAGGAGACGCACAGCACGGGGAGACCCGCTGAGGCCGGCTTCCTGCTCCTGTTTGGTGGCTGATGCTGTGGCCCAGGGGGCTTTGCCGATGCCAGCGTGAGCGAGTCAGGCTGAGCCAGGGCAATCCTAGGGGCGCCGTCTCAGCACTGGACCCCTCCCCGCCCAGGCCAGCGTCCCTCTCCTCTCAGGGGAGTCCCAGGGCTCAGGCTGCCTCCGCTGGCGGAAGCTGGTGGCTGAGGGTTGGAAATACACAGACATTTTTAATGGAAGCAAAATGGGGCAACGGCGTCACGGCCATCCGGGATTGAGCTCAGGTGAGGCAGGGCGGGCGCTGTGCCCCTGTCATAGCAACTACTGCAGCCTGGAGGCAGGAGGCGGCCTGGCCATGGGGGGCCGGCCAGGAGCCCAGGCTTCCAGCTTCATCCGAGGGCTGGCACCTGGCAGCTCTCAGAGCCTGCTGAGCATAATTTCGAAGTCAAACCCCAGGAGTACTTAACCACGCCCAGCCCGGCGAGCCGGTGAGCGCGTGGGGTGAGCCTGGCTAAAGGCAGGGGAAATGCCTGGGATGACTGGCTGTGTTTGAAGAAGGAGCAATGGTGGCTGGCGGGGACCTCTTCCCGGGGCAGCCTGTGTCAGAGCTGATCGCGCAGTTGCTGCGTGCGGAGCCCTACCCCCCAGCTGGGGGCGCTTTGGCGGAGGCGGCGGTTCAGCGGGCGCAGTGCTGGGAATTGACAAGGTGTGTGAGCTGGCAGCGCGGCTGCTGTTGAGCGCAGTGGAGTGGGCCGCCACGCGCCCTTCTTCCCTGACCTGCCCGTCGCCGACCAGCTAGAGCGAGCTGTTTGTGCTGAAGGCCACGCAGGCCGCGCTGCTGCCAGCCGCAGCTGGTCTGCACGCCGCACTCATGGCCGCGGACCGAGCCGTGGCCTTCATGGATCCGGTGCGCGCCTTCCAGGAGCAGGTGGACAAGCTGGGCCGCCTGCAGGTGGACTCCGCAGAATACGGCTGCCTCCAGGCCATGGCGCTGTTCACACCTGATGCCTGTGGCCTTCAGATCCAGCACACGTGGGGAGCCTCCAGGAGAAGGCACAGGTGGCCCTCACTGAGTACTGCGGGCCCAGTTCCCGTCCCAACCCCAGCGCTTCAGGCACCTGCTGCTGTGGCTCCCGCTCTGCGTGCTGTCCCTGCCTCCCTCACCTCCCAGCTGTTCTTCATGCGCCTAGTGGGCAAGACACCCATGGAGATGCTGATTCGAGACATGCTGCTGTCTGGAAGTACCTTCCACCGGCCCTATGGCTCAGGCCAGTGAGGGGACAGGACCCGGGGCACCGTGGCCGGGTCTGCAGACCTCAAGGGATGTGGCTGCTTGAGCCTCAGGGGGGATTCCCCAGACAGAGGACTCCAGCCTCTCTCCTCAGACTCCTATTTTTTAAAGACTGAAATGTTTGTCTTTTCTGTTTTTTAAATGATCATGAAACCAAAAAGTGACTGATTGTCCAGGCTCTGGCCTTGTCCTCCACAGAACCTCCTGGCCAAGATGGAGGAGGAACTGAGGATCTAATCCTGGGACAGTCTTGTCCCTCAGTGCCTCAGGCATGAACTCATGGGATGATGGGGTTGGTTCCCTACTTTGATGGGCAGAGGCCTGGTGTCGACCGCAGGGGCAGCCGTAGCCAGGAAGGAGTTGCGTGCACCAGGTGGCTCCTACTGGACACGTGATCCGCGTTGGACACGACATAGTGAATGAATCCAGGCCAATAATAAAGGCATTTCCTACCTGCAAAAAAACTCCCAAAAAAACTGCCAGACCTTCTGCACGTGAACTTTCAAGGGCCTTTAAAATAAATTGCATCAAATTCAAAACGTCTTGACACCTTTCACCTCGGCCAGGCATTTGCTCTGATCCCTAGATGTTTTCGCAGTGATCCAAAGAATACAAAACGAGGGTCAAGTTTGAATCAACTCTACCCTTAAACACAGAATCTGACTTTGGACTCCGTTGTGGTTTCCTACTAAAGGATCAACAAAAGCCAGCCGTTGTTAGAACACCTGCCAGAGTAACTGTTGGTCATCTCTAAAGCCTTATGCAGATTTCATCCAAAGAGGAGAAGCTTTTAATTGTCCAAATGTTATGTTCTTATACACAAGCTACCTTTATAAATGCTTCCCCTGATCATAAACAGTGTCGTTCTTGTTTGAGATAGAATTGCTGTAGTTCATGACCATTGGTTCATTTTTAAAATTTTTTTTGTTAACTTGGGCTCTTCTCCCCGTCTACTCTACTTCTACTAACTACTACTAACTACCACTTCTACTGAATGTGAAACAGGCCTTACCCATCATGTTGAGTCTATCCTAGGTCAAAAACTTGGTTTTATTGTTTCATGTAATTGCTTGTTTGAACTAATCATTTACTGAAGTGTTAGAAGAACAAATAACTTAAATGAGTCTTATCCCTTCAGTTTTGATGGTGATCAAAATAGCTCAGAAAGAAATTACTGTTTCAGCTGTTCTTAATCTTTTTTGGATCACAGGAGAATTAGATTGAAGCCACAGATGATCTTCCAAGAAAAATGCATCTTCCTTCCTAATTTTGTATATGTAAGTTTTCGATTATTGGACTCTGACTTTTGCATCATGCATAATGGACCCTACATACTAATTAATTACAAAAAAAATATTTTGCATTGCAAATCTCAGTAGTAATCATACACCCTGGCCTCGGTCTGCGTGTCTGTGTGTTGTGCTTTGGGTTGTTTGATGCTCTAATTTGAGGGCTGCTTTATCAATGTGCCTTTGAAATTTAAGAAAGGATCCCTTTTTGTATCGTAATATGTTCGCCTCCAATTCCACATCCATCAACACACACGTTTGGTTTGGTTTAAGGGAGACACATCATGAGTTCACACTGACATTTATGAATAAATTCAGGATGAAAGGGCTTTCTCGTTTGGTCTTATTTGCATATATCTTTGCATCTCCCCTTCATCTCTTTTCAAGCATTTAATTGGCCACAGATTAAAGAGGGGACTCCACTTAGTCTAAATGCTACGGCTCCTTCTTCAAAGGAGCGTGGGGTGAGCCGGGCGGGCTGGCATGGGGCCACCTCCCGCTCTGCTGCGCCCTGGGCTCCAGGCTCGGCCTGCACGTGGCTCCAGGAGCCCTGGTCCAGGGGGTGAGGGTGCGCCCAGAGGCCTCGGTCCGGTGCTGTGGCCTTGAGCTGGTCCCTGGGACCAGGACTGTCAGAGGCGAGAGGGGAAGTAAGCCTTCTTGTTTAGCTGTTTTTGTTCTTTCTTTTTGTAGAAAATGTATGATTACTACTGAGATTTGCAATGCGAATTTAGCACAAGACTTTTACCTCGTTTTTCCTGTTCCCTGGCTTCTGTCACGTTGGGTTTTGTGTGTTTCTGTGAGCCGGAGGCCTCCCAGCTGCATTCACCTTCTTCCTCCTTTGCGGTTACTCGTTTAGCCTCCCACTGACAACACGTGTGATGGCGAACAAGTGGGACCTGAGGGCGTCCTCTCGGCCTCAGAGACGCCCCGACAGTTCTCTCCCGTTGCTTTCAGTCCCTGTGTCAGGAGGTGGCGTCCTCAGAGTTCCGTTGTGTCTCGTAGTTACGTGAAATGCGCACACTGCTCAAGTGAACCCCCAGAACAGCTGCTCCCCAAGGCTTCCGGCCTCCGCGCCTGCCCCTGATTAGTTCCCTCCATCGAGAACCACAGTCCCAGCTCCTGAGGCCGTGGGAAGACCACCCCACCTCCTGCGGGGCAGCCAGTGGCCGCCTCATGGTTCGGTGGGGCACACAGGGTGGCCTGGTTCTGGTTTGCGGTGTCGGGGCCTCAGAAGGGAGAGTCAGAGGCGGATGGGGCACCTGTGAGCGGGGCTGCCAGCTCCCAGCTCTCCAGGGCCTGCCCATGAGCCTGGCCTGGCGGGTCCTTCTTCCCCACGGCTGCTGGCTGGGTCCTCGCCGTGGGCATCCCCAGGTGAGACAGGCAGCCGCGGCGGCCCCGCGACCTCAGCAGGCCCAGCAGCCTCCGCTGCATCCGGGCAGCCGCCACCCAGGGCGCGGGAGGAGGGTCCCTCTCGGAGCAGGCGAGGCCGGGCAGGGCTGGGAGGAAGCCCAGGACTTTGCCATGAGGTTCTGGTTGTCCTTCCATCTGAAAAGCTCCCAGAGGCCCGGGCAGGGGAAGCCAGGCAGCATGTCCACACCGGATGCCATGGGTCTGGGGAGCGGGTGGCGAGGAGGGCCAGGCACCAAGAAAGAGGAACCGAGGCCGGAGGGGCAGGAACTGGGGGAGCCCAGCTGCACCCGCAGGGGCTGCGTCCTCCATCTGCGGGGGAGGAGGCAGCTTCTGCGGTGGAAGGAGTGGAGGTGTTTGTAAGTTGACTCGTCAGCGCTTCTGTGAAGGGGGTTGTTGTGACCGGTTGGAGCGCGAGATTCCCTTCGCAGAGCCTCCCAGGTGATGTGACGCGGGGGTCCCTGGTCCGGCTCACGCAGGGTCTCTCTGGGGTGGGAGGGTCTGGAGGTGCCGGCCTCTGCAGGCGCTCAGGGCACCCGGGGCCTCACCTGGGCCTGTGCCAGGCCCGCCCAGGGAGCGAGGATGGCTCTGCAGGGCCCTTCCCTGCACGTTCCGGCCCCGTGCTTGTGTTTCCATCAGCTGCTCACACCATCACCAGCGAAATGTCTAGATTCACCATCACGAGAAACACAGGCAGAGGCACCCACTAAGGCAGCAGGCACCCCAGGATCGTGGCAAGCGCCCCACTTTCCGACAGACAGCCGCTACCTGATGGGCACCCTAGTCTTGCAACAGACACCCCAGCATTGCAACATGCACCCCAGTACCGTGTAAGGCAGGGGTCCTCAAACTATGGCCCGCAGGCCACATGCAAATACAAATATTGTATTTGTTGCCGTTTTGTTTTTTTTACTTCAGAATAAGATATGTGCA